ACTGGAAAAGGAAGGAAGTGGGAACATGATATGGTCAGCTAAAAATAGATACAGAACTTGCCTGTGCTTCAAACATAATTTGCTAAAGGATGTAACATAAAATCATAATTGAAAAAACAACAACAGCAAATATGGTCTTAAAAGTTTTTAATGTAAATTTTCACGTGATGCTTTATAAAATTTGGCTGAGCTGGAAATATGAGGAAAAAAAGAATTGAAATATTAGTGCTAAAAGAGGCTTTAAGAGATTATGCAGATCAAAAAGCTAAACAGAATTATCATATTATCCAGCAATTCCACTTCTGGGTATGTACCCAAAAGAACTAAAAGCAGAGACTTGAACAGATATTTGTACACTGATGTTCAAAGCAGCATTATTCACAATAGACAAAGGGTGAAAATAACCAAAATGTCCATCGACAGATGAATGGATAAACAAAATGTGTTATACATACGCAATGAAATATTATTTAACCTTAAAAAGGAAGGAAATTCTGATACATGCAACAGCATGGAAGAACCCTGAAGACATTATGCTAAGTAAAATAAGCCAGCCACAACAGCACAAATATTGAATGATTCCACTTAATTGGGTACGTAGGGTAGTAAAATTCATAGACACAGAAAGTAAAATGGTAGTTGAATAGGGGTGGGGAATGGTGAGCTACTGGTTAATGGGTATAGAGTTTCTTTCAGTTTGAGGAGATGAAAAAATTCTGGAGATATATGGTGGTAATGGTTGCACAGCAATGTAAATGTACTTAATGTCACTCAGCTACACATTTAAAATGTTAAAAGTGGTAAATTTTGTATGTATATTTTACCACAATTAAGAAAAAGAAATTTGATGCAGAAACTCATCTGAATAGTGTTTGTGTTCCACAGAGCTTCCCTTAAAACTGGAGAAGAGAACAGACTAACTCGAGGACTCTAGTACTATCTCAATTAGAGTAGCAGGGTGTCTAAAACTGTCAACCCTAATTTTACATGTTAGTAAATGAGGCTTCAAGGGGGAATGAGCTCAAGGTTTCAAACAGATCTACTGAAAACTGAACCGAGACTCTAGGTCTCAGTGATTTTCAGTTACTACCACCCTCTATAATGTAAAGCTGTGTACTTGGAGTACTTCAGCACTACTCTAGTGATACAGTAAAACAAGCATGAAGTATGATGGGAACTAAAGTGTCAAAGGCATACTGGCAGGAAATGGGAAGTAATCAAGTGAATATAAAATGACACGAATACCCAAAATATTAGGAAATACAAATATTAAGGAAGAAATCATTTTGTTTTCAAACTTGTAGCAGTGGAATGAGAGGTGACATTGCCATAGATTCTACTGTGTATTACAAGGATAAGAAAATATTATGAATAACTTTACAGCAATATATCTGATAACTGATATGAAGCAGACGCATTTTTTTTTTTTAAGCTGAGCCATCCTGACACCTGTTGGCAGCTCAGTGGCTGCTCAGCTCTGGCCAGGGTTCAAACCACTGTTGCTCAGAGCTCAAACTCTTGAGCGAGCTCTTAACCAACTGAGCCACTCAGCCGGCCCTGCAGACAAATTTCTTGAAAGACATGGACTACCAAATCTCATGCAAAAAGAAGCAGATAATCTGAACTCCCCTATATCTGTTAAAGAAATTGAATTCAAACCAAAAAACTCCAGGCCCAGATGGTTTCTCTGGTGAATTCTACCAAACACTTAAGGAGCAAATATTACTAATTCTACACAAATTCACCCAAAAAATTAAAAAGGAGAGAACATTTCTCAACTCATTCTATAAGGTCAGCATTGGCTTAAACACCGCCCCCCCCCCCACCACCAACTACCACCACCAAAAAAAAAAGTCCAAAACCCTGAAACATTATAAGGCAACTACAAACCAATATCTCTCATGAACACAGATATAAAAATTCTTAAAATTTCTAACAAATCAAATCTAACTATATAAAAAAGATAACATATCATGACCAAATGGGGCTTACCCTGGGAATGCAAGGTTGGTTTAATATCAAACAAATCCATCAATCTATTTAGCCATATTAACAGACTAAAGAAAGAAAATCATATCATCTCAATAGAGTCATGCACTGCATAACGATGTTTGGTTAAGGACAAACTGCATATATGACAGTAATGATTATAATGGAGCTGAAAAATTCCTATTGCCTAGTGACTTCATAGCCCTTGTAACATGGTAATGCAATGCATTACACAAATACTATTGCATTACAAATGCCTACAGTACTCAGTACAGTAACATGTTTTATAGCCAAGAATGTGTAGGGGAACAGAATTTGTCACCCCAAAATGTCTCTTCGGCATAAAAATTATTTTTTTTGACTGGTTAATTTTAAGAAACAGCAGACATGGGAGAAGCTCTGAAAACCAAGTAGAAGTTAGTTACCCTTTGTAAAAGACATTTATATTTGTAAAGGAAATCTTCATTTGTAAGGGTTTCTTCCTAGCTGTACTGGGAAGATGGGGGTGACCATGTTTCTATAAATTCTTATCAATACAGAAGACAAAGACTTGATTCTGCATAACAACCTTACCCTTGTTTATTGGGCTTTTCCTGGTCACCTCCCACAACTGAC